CCCCCCCCCCCCCCCCCCTCCAAAGTTAATGATGTGGCATGCCCCTCTGGTAACATTCAAAGTTCAGTAGGAGAGAGAAACTACACGTCCCGTGAGTCACAAAAACCAGCATCTTCAGCAGTCTGCTCCATCTCCCTGTATATTCATTATCCCTCTTTTCCTGGCAATTAGGACTTATCTCTCACCTCTTCCTGCATCTACACCATAATTTCCTGTGGTGGTGGGAGAGCTCTCACACCTTCCTCATGCATCAGGACTTTTGTGTGTGGCTGCAGTATGAGAGAAAGGAGCTGATGTGATGTTTACAAATGTGGCCATATGACTATCTCTATCTATCTATCTATCTATCTATCTATCTATCTATCTATCTATCTATCTATCTATCTATCTATCTATCTATCTATCTATCTATCTATCTATCAATCAATCTCTCTCACATACTCTCAGGGATACTCTGTTTACATGGCACATGCATATTGACTGACATATCTGTTGGGTGGTGTGTTACCGATGCCTGTAACCTTGGCAGAGCTGAGCGGGACTCCCACGGACCACACATCACATGTGCTGTAGCTAAAAGTGCACCAGTCGTTGAAGTTCACAGAATGACTCATATTTTTCCTCAGAAAGGAGGGATTGTATAATTTGGCAAGGAGAGTGAAGGCAAGAGCCCATCTGTTGAAAAGGTCGAGATCTAAGCTTCAGACTTGGATGTTAGGAAGCTAGAGTACAAAGCGTTCATTACGAGGCAGAAGTTTGTGGGATTGTCAACGAAAGGTCACCAAAAGGTCAAAAACGCATCAAGCTGATCACTTATCTGCCAGGACTGGAAGTCATATTCACAGCACAGCCTGCAGTGCTAAAAACTGATTTCAAGTTCAAAACAACATAATTATGTTTTCTTGCCTAATTATTTGTGGTAGTTAAGCCAGTAATTAAAATATGCTTAAAATATGATTAACCATGTAGCAACCACCTAGAACACCTAGCACCAATCCCATTTTCTTCAGAAAATGGAAAAAGCTTATACTGTAAGTAAGCTACAAATCATCAAATATTATGCACACTGGCCCTATAGGAAATGCTTGTTCCAATAATATTCATGCCTTGCCAAAATCTCTAACAATTCCTCAAAAGCTATGTAATACATTGAACATTAAAGTGAGCACATTCCTTGAGTCCGAATCCAAATATGCCTCCTACGCCTCTAGAGTCCAAACCTAATTCTTCTTTATGTATAATGAGGACCTGCGAGACTAACTTTTAAGAGTAAATAACATTAGTAGTTTGGTTCCCAATAAATTTGGCATGACGTGATAACGGACTCAAGACTGCAACGCAGCTCATTGCTCACAACACACTGGTTCAGTCTGTGCTACGTTTTAACTGACAGTAATGAATGAGATTATTATTTTTTTTTGCAAGACATTTAATTGAGTTTTAAACCAGTGGAAGAATGGGATCTACATAACTTGTCATGTTTATTGCCTTATAAAGCTATACAACCTTTTTTCTTGGTCTTTTATATTTTACAGACAGAGTATTTATTTTTTTTAATGAATACACTTTTGAATTAACATTTTAAGTCAAAAGTCAAAGTCAAAAGAGCCCAATCCCAAGTCTCTATGCTATTTTGGTCACCTATGACTTGGGTGCCTCCTTCGATGTAAGAAGACTAAACAGTGTGGGATGAGTTTTAATGTAAAGTTTAACACTTAGGGCTAATGAAGTATTAGCAATAACAACAGGGCAACCAAACATAACAACCAAAGAAATAACAAATAAAGTGCTTTTAAATTCAGACGGTAAACTCAACAAGACTCCAAGGTTTTCAAAACAAGTGAAGGTACAGACTGGACTCTGAAAGAAAATCAACATCAGACATCCCTACTGAGTTCACAGTTCTTAGTGCCCTGGTGTGTGACCAGTTTCTAAATGTCTTCATCAGCACTTTAAAACAACGGGTGTGTTGCTGCACCTCCCAGAGACAAACAATATTGTGTGTCAGTTGAACAGGTTCCTCTGGGAGGACAGGCACAGGCTGCATGACTACTCCTCTCACGCAATGTTGTTTTGTCTTTTCATGCAAGTCACATGCTTGTAATTCGAGTGTCTGTTTTCCAATGAAGGACTATAAATTACCATGATTATATATATATATATATATCAGGGGCATTTCCTCCGAGTAGGCAAGGGAGGCAGTGTCTCCTCAAAATATTGGATGAGAAAAAAAAATCGTAGTACAAAAATAATATTACAAAATATAACATTAAAACGTGTATAAATGACTCGTTTTTCTAAAGAAACATTGTCCAACAGCGACATTAGCAGGTAAAGTAACAGCGGGAGTCCGCGTCTCTCTCGCCTCCCCTGAGCCCATTGCGTTTTAACAGGCCCTCTAAAGCATGACGTGAGTTTGGTGGGGGGTAATTGAGAATGAATGGGGGAAAATCACATGAGAGGAGACAATGCCTCCATCGTGATATGATTGGATCTGACTGGTTATGTTAGGCTGTGATTGGTTCAACCAAAAATCCCCCCCTCTTGTGTTCATGCGTGTTCCGCTTTCATGAATCAGTCTGAATGAACAATATTGTCATGTATGTCATTAAGTTGTTTACTTACTTACAAAAAAGTAAGTAAACAACTCACACACTTAGATATATAATCACTTTGTTGCATCAAAATGAGACTTAAAATGGCCTGAAAACATGATCTGTGGGAGATTTAAGTGAGTAATCTGCTTGGTAAAATTTCAAGTAAATCTCTGTGTCTGTGACCAATATTTACTGAGCTTTGATGACCAATGAACCAAATAATTAAAAAATATTTAAAAGTTAACTATTAAAAAGAATAGCTGAACATAAGTTCACAAATAAAATATTGTTTAAATTGTTACTGCCTTCAGTTGTTATTTTGAAATAAATGTAAAATACTTAAAAACACTAACTTGATGAGATTCATACTTGGCTTTAATAAACAAAATATTGATTACATTGTTAATGTAAAAATATAAAATAGAATTGTTTTGTTTTTTTGTTTTTTTCTGGTAGTGTAAGTAATGTTTATTTATTGATGATATATAGGCACAGTGAAGAAGGACCGGTGTTGCTGTCATGGCAGATTTATTGGGTACAGCCAGAGAAATACATATCCTAAAAACAAAACACAATATAATATATTAATCATGATACACTATAAATGCATTTTATTTACCAATATTAATTAGATATTAATAATATAATAAATCTTTCTTTCTTTCTGTGTGTCCTTTAAATATTGGGATGCATGACATGGATGACTTCAGTGCTTGAAGTGGGAAAAAAAGAAGTGCCGGTACTCCCCCACACATAAATAAAAGAAACTAATAAATTAATACACATATAAATACATTTTCATAATTAGTGCTACCTATCTTTTTAATGGGAGGTAGCACAATCTGAGCGGGTAGCACAAATCGTCAGCACACCGGTCGTTTTACACTTTTGGGGACTGAGAACACTTTGGGGCAGAGAACGGGATTGCTTTAATTTTCTATATCAAAACCAACTCTTATTCATTATGATCAAACTGTCACACCTTAAATCACAAACATGCATACGATTATTTAAATTAATTACTTCTCGGTATTGCTGTCACTTTTCGGGTTTCAACTCTTTACGAAAGGTTCTCGGTTCAAGAACCGCTCGAGAGCTCGTGAGCCATTCAACTGATTCATTGAAAAGATCCGAATCAAAAGAATAGTTCTTTCACGAATTGGGTATCGCAAATACCCTCCTCTACACCTCCCTCGACCCGTGGTGCTCCAGCTTTCCGACTCCTGAAGAGACACGGGCGCCTGTCATCCGTTAACCACCCGAGCATCTCTGGCATCCAAACGCAGTTTCTAACCAGAACAGTCATTGGACTCATCGTTTAAGTGGTATACAATGCCACAAGGCTTCTTTGCCGTCACATCGACCGATATTGTAAAACTTTAAATGCTCTTGTTATGGCTATCTGAACGGTTCTTGCGGCAGTTATAAGTGCTAACTGAAGCGTATATGAAACATTTTGGCTGACATCTCTCGGAGTCATCTCTCTTTAAAAAATGATCGGGGATTGTGAGACTTCCATGTCGGCGATGCTGCTTTCCATCTTAATCGATACCTGAGACCAGGGGTCAAGAGTTAAGAATTTGCATTTGGCGTGGATCGTTTGCAGATCATTAAAACAGATCAAACTTTTATCACATATGACACGGATTATTAAAGATGAGACGCTTATTTTGACTATCACAGTGGGATAAAGTACAGCGCATCATCACCGCACCTTCAGGATGTTCCGGCGAGGTAAGACCAACATTTGAAATGATATAATTGCGTTTTTTGGTGTAGTTCAAGCAGATGCATGATGCTCAAAGTAGGTTACATTTCTATTCATTGCGCGCGACTCTTCCACGCGCATCCGTGTTTATATATCAGAAACTCTTTATGGGATTTTAAGCAGGTTAGTTTCAGGTTCGTCTGGCTCTTTAAGCATTTGACTGTGCGCTGATGAAATATTAATACACAGCACGTAATATTATTCTTAAAAATAGACAAGCGATGCCGCACTGCAGCTGACAACTACTAGAGCTTACTTACTGCACGCGCTTAACAAGTACTAGTAAAACACAGTTAGTAATCTTGTTTTTAAGACGGGAGAAGCGGTGCATGGCGACAGGCGCCCATGGGACCAGTGTTTGTGAACTGCTGCCTCAGACTCACTCACACACACACACACACACACACACACACACACACACACACACACACCAAGAAAATATAGATGCGGGAATTTTGCTGTCTATATCAGTACTCAATATGTGCCATATAAGCTGTGGACACAAAACCGAAATATATTTGTACTCTACAGTCTAGATATTAAAACAAATCTCGCACAGAATTATTCAAGAAACATCCACGTTATGAAATTTGATGGATCAACATTCGTGTGTCCACAGAGAGGTGCTGTTTAACATTGTTAGGAAGTCATGCGTGTCAAAATGTTGTTTGGGACATTTTTGTTGTGCGTTAAATTTTTCTAATGTTTCTTTCTCTTTATTAGTGTAATTAGATGTAGCTTATTATTTTGGATGATACTATTTGAGTAATTTAGAGTGTTCTTGACGTGCCCCCCCCCC